ATGCAAACAGCCGGAATGCCTGAGCTAAATCACGTGGGCCATGTGCACGATATTAATCAACAAGGACACTCTGACTAAGCCGACACGAGAAACCAAATGGGCAGCATAGTAAGAACTAGAGTTGTGCGCGTGACTAAAAACCTGTTTTCGAGCAGCTTTTGGACATTTCTGAATGACAAGCGAAAATCTTGAAAACTGTTTTATCTTGAAACTGTCTATTTGTACTAATTAAGTAAAAGTTTAAGTTGAACCAAAAGTTCAAAATCTCATGTAACTAATCTTAAGTGTACATTCGTATTTAAGTAGTAAGTTATCGGTTTCTCAGCAGCATTGAAGTTTTGTTTTCAACTACAAGTATACATTTTTGCAGTCGTTGCAATTTTAATTTCACGGCGTTTTCTTTAGCGAGTCAGAATCACGCAGGTCCTCTCGCACAGGTCTAGTGGGGAATACAACAGGAGTAGGCAGCATAAACAGTTGTTGCATGCTATAAATGCAATGTATGCGGACTATTGCGACAACAGCAACAACCACAGCAAAGGCAAGCATAGCAACTTTTGGCATGACAATGGCTTCGCATTGTTGCTCTGAGCCCAATCCCCATTCCCCATTCCCTAGTGTAGTTTATTGGCCAACAGCAGCAGTCTTCCCCTTTCCCTCTGCCTCTCTACCTATCTCTGTGTCTTTGCAGGCGGCTGGCGTTGGTCATGCTGTGCAGATATTTGCATATTTGCTGAACGCTTTGCGTGCACAACAAAAGCTCATTATCTTGTTGACACGTCTCGAAAATGCCTGTTAACCGGCAATCTCTTATATGCGTAGCATTTAGACATTTGTTTTTCCAGTGCAAATTGAACAAGTGTTAAGTGGCAGAGACGTGTTGGCAAATACATGAGCTGGCGGCAGACAGGAGGGCTTAAAAAGATGTGAATTGTGTGAACGACTAATTGCTTTCGAAGAGGAAATCCATTTAAAATAAAACTTCTTACGATAATGCACCAAGTTTAAAGAAATTGAACGAGAAGTTTAGAACAGTTCAGTCCTTTGGCCAAATTAATATGAACAGCAAGGGACGATATGGCAAACTTTGGCAATTTAATTTGCACAAAGACGACAAGCGAATTGTAAAGTTCATAAACTTGTGCTACATTAAATTTTTAAATGCCCCGCTGGGTGTCGTCGTTTAAAGTTTTTGTGAGGAAAGACAGTTTAGGCTTTTAGCGGTGAAGCTTAAAAAATTAAGATAAAATATGTTTTTGCACATTAGTGGGAACATTGGTTGAACAATGTACCGCATACCATGACATATTCTTCGCACATATTTTACCAAAACAAGTTCCAACTTATTGAGCTGAAACCGCAGAGCATGAATGCCAAAAATTTATCATAATTTATAAGTCAAACCACAAATGGTTGGCAGTTGAGCAATTCACACATAAAACCATTTCATTAAAAATCATTAATAATAATCTAATGAAAAGCAAGAGCAGGCGAAAGCAAAGAGTAGCGACGATAAGCCCCAGGAGCTGCCGCATTGTTTGACATTTAAGAGATTAAAGGATGGGGAATTCATGGCTGACAAAACATTTTTCCCAAAAAGTGGTACGGGAAAGCTATGGCGACGACAACGATGACAACAGCAACAACAACTGACATAAAAGTTTTGCAGAAAATTGAAGAGCTATTTTTTATTTCAAGATGTCAAGTGGATGGATACATTCTGTAATATACAAGAAAGAAAAAAAAACGCGTTCTATTAGCCATTCTCTCATTTACTTTAAGCCAACGCTTGGCACAGTAATAAAGTTAGAGCTTTATGTCAGCCTAATCACTTTAAACTGTGGCCAAGCGAATGCGGGCTTGCGGTTTAGCCCACTGAAGTTTACTTGCCTGGTTTGTGGGACTATTGGCCCAGTAAGGCAGCGAGCGTGTAATAAATTACATTTGTCTGGCTCTACGTAACTTTTGCAAAATGCATGAACAAGTTAGGTTATGTTACCATACCACTCGAACGCATACACACACACACACAGATACACACATGCGAGACGCTTGTGTCTGTCAGTTGCATGTATGAAATGCCAACTCATACACTGTTTGGCGTTTAGTTTTTTGCCTTGACGTTTGAAACGGAAGCTGCCCGCACTACTCACACATACACAGACATACATTCACGCACACATAGCCACAACCATAAGGCTATGTGCAACGGAAATGGTATAACGAATATGAAGAAGGGGCACGGCGTGCAGAAACGCCTTCAAGGGAAATTAGAAAATGCCACAGCGCGCATGTAATGACATTTAATAGAACGTTTCACTGACGACAAAGCTATGAGTCAACGAAAATTCCTGCGCGAGGATAAATCTGCAACTAATATAACATTCATTATAATGCGTAATGCGTGTTGTAATCTTTTATGTTAATGAGAAAGTTATTTTGTTCCACAAACAATCCAGCGATTCATGCGTAATTTTTGCTGTATTATGACTAACTATTTGGGTTTTTTAATATTGAGGTATAATATAGTTTGTTTTATTTTGTCAAGGAAATACTATTAAAGTAAAGATGAATTAATTATAAAAACCTTTTAGACTCAGTTTAATCAGCTAATCTGTGTGGTATATGTATATGAGAAGCAGTTATTGAAAATCATGTTTAAAAGCTCATGATTTTCAATTTTCCCGATTTTTTTGTTAACTTAAAACGGTTTTTTATTCATTACTTTTATTTGAAAAATATATTTTTATCTTATAAATGGTTTCCATGGAAAAAGACGATTAAATGACACAATTTATTTGTGCTTTAAAAGAATGATGTGTGTTTGTGCGTTAAATGAAATTTCTCGGAAAAAACGAAATCGCTCATCAAAAACAGTAAGCTGAGTGGCTTGTTCATGCATAACAATGTGGAGTCAGTAGCGGCTAACATGTCTGTCCCTCCCACTGCCCCTTCCCACACCCTTGTCCTTCGTTCAATGCCATTGTTGCCATCATCGACGCTGATGATGCTGCTCTTGTTGATTTAGTAACAGCGGACAAAAGTACGCGAGGCATGGCATCCTCGCTGATTGAATTAAATGCGATTCTTTCCCACTGCCCCGCTCTGCCTTGCCAGACAACAGGCCATTACTTTTTTGTAAATGCAGTCCACAAATACTAAGTAAATAAAATGGCATCCAGCATTGGGGAATATTTAATTAAATTTACGCAACAGCAATAGAAGAAATCAGAAACCGATGCCAGACAGAGAATTTAATTAAACTTTTGTATGCGAATAAGTATTTTTTTGGCACTCGTCGTTGGCAGCAACGCATTTTAATTAGTTTTTAGAAGTGTGTAACTTTGAGCATGTGCATGTGTGTGTGTGTGCATGTGTGTGTTCGTATCTGCACATACGCGTATGTAGGAGTATATGGGGCAACAAATCAAAAGTATGCGCCAACGATTGACGTAGAGCACAGTATGACATGTCCTGAATGTATTTGTATGCGTGTGTGTGTGTCGAGTGAAGCCGTCAGAAAACTTTTAAACAAATGTCGCTCACACGCACACGCACACGCACACAAAACAACAACAAAAACAGCTACAAGGTGTTGGCATTAAAATTTCATGCACATAAACAAATAAGTTTTTAGCAGAAAATGCAGAAAATGCAAAAAAAAAAATCTACAACAACACAGCATGCACCCGCAATCGCACACACACACACAAAACACACATTTCACACGCATGGTAACTTTTGATTACATTAACAGCATTGCAGGAAGACCATCAGTTGGCAGGAGAAATGTTTTTACGTTTAATGCGCAGGTACAGCAAAAGGAAGAAAAAAATGTTGAAATGGGACTGCGCGGCACTGTAAAATGAGCCACAAAAAGTAGCCAACGCGTCATTCTGTATGCAAACATTCGGCTTGTATTACGTATAGTACTTGCCTTTGGCGACCATAAAATAAAAAAACAGAAATGGACATAAAATACTTTTCACTGCTCTCTAGCTAAAAGAAAGGAACGCAGGCACTCACATAGAATTATGAAATTGTTTCGGGGTTTTATTAAAACGTAACAGCAATTTGTATGTCTCTGGGGAGTAGACTTTAAAGTCGTGCCAGCCAGACTTCAAAATTCTCTATAACCACTCTATTTTATGTTCCACACAGACGTTGTTGTGCTAAGCATTTCTATGACAGCTATGTGATATATTGAACCGATTTTGGTTATGAAACTCTATAAAAAACATATAAATACAAGATTTGTTTAAGACACCTTTAAAAATAACAAAGACTAAGTTTGTTTTCGGCGCCGATCGTGCCTTTGGCAGCTAGTTTATAGAACCACAAAACCAACAACAACAAAAACAAAAATAAACTAAGAGTGTTTTTTCTTTAAATTGTTCTTATATCAGCTATATAAATAGAGGAGTTCTAGATGGAATTTTATAAACTTGCCCTGCATATATATATGACTTTGTTGTATGTAACTGTTAAATTTCAATATTTCTCAGAACATCTTACAAATTATATTTGTTTCAAGCGTACGAACTCTCATATCTATATATATTATATTATTTTTTATACTCTCTATTTTCAAAAATTATGTAATACAAGTAGCTTCAAATAAGATATGCCAGAATTAAAACTAAATAATTGAATGAAAGTTCTTCATTTTAAATACAAGTATAATATAGAGTATATAAAAATGTGGCATTTAAAGTTTAAAAGCAAGATAAAAGTTAAATTGACAAGCGTTCACAACTTGTAAAGCTTCAATTATTGTTTGGTCAATCAGTTTTGGGTCTTTGCCACCACCAGCCACCACCAGCCACCACCCGCCCACTCTCTTGATTGTTCGCTCATCAAATGCATTTGCTTAGCAACTTTGCAGTGTAAACTGAAGTGTGCGCTCAAACAATGCCGAGAGCAAAAGTTTTGCAGCACGCCCGCACTTCAATAAAATATTTTATTTCAATTAACTTGTTTAAACTTGCGACAAAACTTACCCCACTGCGTCCGCCGGAACCATCAATGCTATCATCGTCGATATAAATTTCATCTTTGGTCGCTGACGTTGATGAAGGCGCTGCTAGCGAAGATTTAACGGATTTCTGCAAATAAAAAAACAGCCGAAAAGCATTTGAAGTTAGCAAATGGTAGAGCCATGTTCAAGCTTTTAAACAAAACAGTCTGCGAAACTGAGTGCAAAAATAAAATTCAATAAAACTTTTTTAATTTGCGCCAACTTTTATTTCAAATGCAAATATTTTCATTTAATTAATTTGAGGGGAGAAAAAAGTAAATCAAGAGTGAACCGTGCACATTTGGCGTCAAACTTTTCTGGTAATTCAGGGTTCGGCCAGCCGTGAATGACTCTCACATCTCCCGAAAAAAAAACCAACAGAAAACTATAAAACTTATGACAGTTCCGATGTTGCATTCACTTAATTAATAAGAGCGACTTTTGCTAATGAAATTTTCCATTTGTTCTCTGGACGGCAATGGGCATAAAAACAAAAGACCACGCCGTAACATATGCTACATTAATTTTAATTTGCACACACATACATCCACTTCTTGGCCTCTATAAAGGCAGCAGGAGTGAAAACAACAGACACAAATGAGAGGCGATTTATTTACAAATAAGAATATATAGCATGCTTTTCAGCGATGTCACAGTTGTCAACAACATGAGGATTATACACTGAACGGTCAACCACAACAATTTGCAAGCGAGCAACCGCATAAAGCAATTAATTAAGCACACTACAAATATATGCCACACCCACGCCCCTGGCAGACTCAACTCAAACAGCATCCCACAGCTGGTGGAAACAACAATAAATGCATTTTTTACGATGCAGTGGAAATCAATGAAAAATGCATAACACAAAGCAAGCATAAGCGACGCTTTGGGGAAGTAGTGGTGCACTGGGGTGGAGTGGGGTGGTATGGGTCGTATGTATGACCAGTGGTTGTGGCAAACTTTACGAGCAGCAAAAAGCATTGCAACAAACGCTTGCAGCATCTCTGGTCAGGTCAGCCCACAAGGCTGGCAGGCGGCACATAATTAATGCGAAACATCGACAATGCTTCCTCACGTTGCGCTGACATCGAGGTTTATAGTTTCGCACATAAAAAGCAGGCAGAGGCCAGTTGCTGGTATTTTTGCCTCATTAAGCGTGTTTGCGGCTTTAGTAGAGCTGCACTGCATAGCTCCATGGCTTAAGTGCAGATTGATGAAGCTTTAATTAAAGTTTACGATGTCAACTAGAGTAGAGCGCGTGACAAAATCTTTCCTATTCAGATATCACACTCACAATTTTTCTTTTATAAAATACTTATATATCATACATACTATATATCACTTGCATGAAGTGCAATGAAATAGCATTTTTTCTTTCTATTTTATTTAATGAACCTTTTTTAGAAACCTAAAAGACATATAATGCTGAGACATCTATTACTCCTTTGAATAATACCTTCATGTCTCTTCATTATAGAATTAATTTCGAAAACTGATTGTATTTTATATACTTTTTATCCTTGCATACCAGCTGTTGTTACAACGATTAGATATCCTGAAGCTATCACATATTTTTAGCGAAAATGTAAATGTATTTATCGCAATTCTCTGTTGATTTTGATGTGCGGATTGCTGTGAAAAGTTACATAACTTATGATGAAGATTGACGTAAGATATAAACAATAAAAAAACATAGAATCTATGAATTCTTAATACCGATGAAAATCTTACTCTATTTCTGGGTAACAGGAAAAACTATATACTATATTAGTATATAAGTACTATAGATTTTTAGTTAAACTTAAGCTGATATTTGACCAAAGCTTCCACTAGAAAATGCAAGTACTAGATGACTACTTTAAATGTTGGCATATAGGGAAGCATGCATATTTTCTAGGTTAAAAATACAATTCTGTCGCGTACATGTCGCCTATTCATGATTGCGTCTCACGTTCATCTTTTATGGCTGCGACAATGACGAGAAAATCACGTTTGTGCAGGCGGATATTAAAAAAGAGTCCAGCAGCAAACAACATCAGCACAAAGTGCTTTGATATTTGCCAACAGTTGACATAAAAAACAAAAATAGAAAGCAAAAAGCATTTCCATGCCACGCGCAACAACTATAAACCAATTTATTTAAGCCTTTTTAGGAAGCTTTTGTTATTGCTGCTCCAGCTCAGCTTAAATTGCATTCTGCAGCATTATAGATTAGCTCGGCAGCTCCACCCGGCATCCCCAGTCAAGAAGTCTAAGTGGAGAATATAAAGACGGCAACATTGACGCGAACTAACTTGTTTCTAAGTTTTGTTGGCAAAGTCAACGTGGCAAAATGTCAGCATTCAGCGACGTTGTCATTCATTTTCATGAATTTTCCGGGCATACACACATACCTGCCATGACGATGTTGTTTAGTTCTTGCCTGCGCTCAAAACAATTCATCTTTGTTTGGGTTTGGGTTTGGTTGGATTGAGTTGGGCTGGGTTGGGCTTACTTCTAGATGTAGATAGCTATTTGGCCTTTCTCTGTTGGCAGTTAAAACTTTTCCTAAAGGTGTGAATAACCGTTTTCTGCGTCTTCGGCTTCCCACAAGAAGAGGATAAACCCATAGTCATCGTCATCGTCGTCGTCAGCGTCATCGTCATAGCGTGCCAACTTTTGCATTCGTGGCAAGCGGGATAAACTTGTTTGGTTGCGGTCGGTTTTATTCTGGTCTATGATTTGCTTCTGGCTTTGCTTCTCGCTTACTTGCCGGCTTCATAAAGTTTGAAGAGTTGCATATGTGTGTGTGTTTGTCTGAAGATGTGGTTTTTGGAGTCTGTACAAAGTTGAACGCGCTCACAGACAATAGTGTGGCTATACAAATGGGCTTAACTTCAATAACCGATTATGACAATCAGGAAATGAGAGAAACGTGCATTTATGTGTGTGCGATATTTTTATACGCGGTTGGGCGTGCTTTTCTTAATAACAAAAGGAACTTTTCTTCTCCTGAATAATAATAATAATACAGTCAAAAGAGACACTCAAATGTAATTATCTATATTCCGAAAGCATCTTAAATGAAGCTATATGTATTTAGTATTTTATAGGATTTTTGTTAAATTAATTTCGAAAGGAAAAATAAATTTAAAATTCAAAATTATAACCACTTTAAATTATTTAGTATGAATAATATCAAAGCTGCATTAAAGACAATATATCGGCAATGCACTACATTTTACATGTAAATCAAAAATATCAAATTGATAACTTCATAAAAAAATGACCAATTAGAAACCAAAAATATATTAATATTCAAAGTAAATATAAATTGATAGTATTCTCTCCTCAGCCCTAGTGCTTGCATCTTCCCTGATATCGGGAGCCTAAATAGTTGTATTTTTGCGCCGGTTCTGTTGCCTTTTTTTTCAGACTATCGACATGTCATTTGTTTTCTTACGCTCCAGATTTTAACCGCAGAGTAAGAATATATGCTTACTTTGTTTTATTTTTTCAGCTTCTCGAAATGGTTTCTGCTGCAACATGTTTACCCATCTTGTTTTTTTCCTCCATGCTGTGCCTTATTTTCTTCGAACTTTGTTTACTTCATGCATAGTCCTTTGCTAGTTGAAAGCGTTCCACAATTGAAAATTTTCATCAGAACGTTGTCTATAATTTCAAGTTTGTGCTTTCTCAATTTTCTGCTATGTTTAACAGCAAAATTGGTCCTTAATTTACATACAAGTATACTCGTATACAGGCACACATATTTATGTATATGTTGTTGTACATATGCCTGCCTATTCGTCTGTCCGATTGCAATGCTTGTGAAATGCAAAAACTTTCGAATGCATTGAAAAATATTTTGCATTTTGTGCAACATGCAATCATCCGTACAACTCTAGCTACTCGCATAAAGTAAGCATTTCTGTGGCGTAAACTCAATTCCCACCGCAATTGTGTAACTGAGAAATAAAGGAGATGCCACAAGATTTGTGCGTCAATTTGATTGCAATTGCAGCTTTGGTTGCAAGAGACAAAACCTATGTACGACAAATAACATTTATTGTGTCAATCGAAATAGTTTGCATCTTTTTGTGAGCACATAACCAAAACCAAGTGATAAATCAATATAAATATTGACAGTTATACATGGGGGTATCTGTGTGTGCACAATTTATAGGCGATTCATTCACAAAAAAAAAAGTTGGTTTTTTATGCTGCCCATTTTTATGGCTCGAAAATATCGTCGTTGTCGTGCACTATTCTGCACTTTCATTTGTCATTGTTTGTTTGTTGGAATACATTTTAACCAGATTTTATTTATTCATTTTTTATGAATGCTGTGACTTTTTCGTTATTTTGTCGACCGAAAGATAAAAAAATGAATTGACATAAATATATGGGATATTTGTGTGTACAATTTTGTTTATAGTATTTTAGTTTTATGCTCTATTTTGCATAAATCCTTGATGCTTATTCAGCACTAATACCAAAAATAAAAAATGTGATTCTACATCGACTGTTGGTCACAGCTGCGAATTTCCAACAGCGACGATGGGCTGCAGTCATGAAAGTGTTTTTGGCAAAAAATGAAAATGTCCACACAGGCTTTACAGTGCTATATAAATGTATATATTATTTTAAAATCAATATTTATTGTTATGCGGATATACTTTTAAATTTTAAGAAATCTAATTCAGCCTAATTTGAATTTTACAAACATTCCTGTTATGGCAATTCAGCAATTATAATAGTTCATTTTGAATTTGGTTTCTCTGTCCGCTCTCAGCACTTGTATTGTTCTCGCACTCTCAATGGCTAAACTAGTGCCCACCAAAAATTTGAAGTTAGGCTTAGGCAAAGGCATGAATTGTAATAAACTCACTTGTTAATTTAAATAAATACCATGCAGTTGTTTTGTTTGTTCCTATTGGGAACATAGTCTGCCAATAACTCTTTGGAACCTATTAGCTTTTACCCACCGGCAATTCATCGTGTTCTGGAGGAATAAACATATGTATGCGAAAAGTCCCAGAAATACTCGATCTATCAATGGAAAAAGAATTGGACAAAAATATTATATATAAACCTACGTAGTCC